AACGATAATGATGATGATGAAATTAGTTGAAGTAGAGAAATGATGAAAAAAAAAATTCATATAGGTAATTTATTGGGAAACTTTTTTTTTCTCGTTCTCGTCATAAGTTTTCTTTTTCTTTTTTTTGTTGTTGTTAAGAAGAAAAAGAATTTTTTTCATTTCAGAATCGATGAATCAATTGGTCAACAACACAGAAACACAAGACACAGGACAAGACAAATGACGATGAAGATGGATGTATATGTTTGTCATATAATTTTGCATATCATTTTCTTAAATCCATTCTTCATTATCGTCACCATTGACGATAAACAACAGCAAAACGACAACGACAATGACGACGACGCCAGATTGAATATTTTATTATTTTTTTCACTAAATCAATTTGATTTCGATTGGATTGGATTTAGAGAAAAAAAAATATTATGAGAAAAAAAATAAATAAAATTTCCCTTTTTTGAATCTTTGAAATATCAATATTTTTTCTTCTTCATTTGTTTTGTTCAATTTGATCAATCAAATCAAAATTTTTTCGTTTGTTCACTGTCCTTGTCCATTGCAGTAATTAACAATCATCATCATCATCACTATTGAACTAAAGATCAAATCGATATTTGTTTACGAATGATAATGATGATAATCAAAAAGAAAGAAAATATTATTTTGATTTTTCTCATCTCATAATTTCCCGTTGATGTTTGTGTTAAAATTCTGTGTTTGTTTTTCTCCCTCTCTCACTCTCTCTCAATTCAATTTCAATTCAACAAAACAAAACAATTCAGAAATGCACTTACCACACGCAAATTATTCTTCGATGAATATTGATTGATTTGAAGGAATACGATTTTTATGAATAGACCACACACACACACAAACACACAAATAACGGAAATCGAATGTTTTTTTTACAAAAAAAAAAGATTCGAATTAGTAAAACATTCGATAAATCAATGTGTTTTGTAAATAAAAAATTGAAAAGAATCATAAAATCAACAAGTGTTATTTAATGAAAGATGAAATGTTCAAGAAAATTGGATGATCAATTGAAAAATTCAACAATGAATCCATCAAAGAATTTGCCTGCAATAATGATTCTTGTTGATTCTTGATGATTTGTTGATTGGTCACATTGATTTTGATGATTATGATTATTGATGATCATAATTGAAAATGAAAATCATTATCGATCATAATTACAGACGAAATTGAAGAATAAGCCGGAAAACAGGATTATCATGATATAACAGAATCACTTTATTCAATGAATTTTTTCAACAACAACAACAACAACAAAACTGTATGTTTTTTCCAAACAAACAAANTCATCATCATCATCACTATTGAACTAAAGATCAAATCGATATTTGTTTACGAATGATAATGATGATAATCAAAAAGAAAGAAAATATTATTTTGATTTTTCTCATCTCATAATTTCCCGTTGATGTTTGTGTTAAAATTCTGTGTTTGTTTTTCTCCCTCTCTCTCTCTCTCTCTCTCTCTCTCTCTCTCTCTCTCTCAATTCAATTTCAATTCAACAAAAAACAAATTTTCAGAAATGCACTTACCACACGCGAATGATTCTTTGATGAATATTGTTGATTTGATGTGAAAAAAAATTGAAATATTGATTGATTTGATGGAATACGATTTTTATGAAGGGACCACACAAGGGCACACACGCAAATAACGGAAATCGAATGTTTTTTTTACAAAAAAAAAAGATTCGAATTAGCAAAACATTCGATAATTCAATGTGTTTTGGGAAATAAAAATTACAGAATCATAAAATCAACAAGTGTTGTTTAATGAAAGATGAAATGTTCAAGAAGATTGGACTATAATCAATTAACCGTTTCATATTGAAAAAAGATTGGTCATTTTACGATAATTCAACAACGAAGAATTCATGAAAGAATTCACCAGTAATAGCAATTCTTGTTGATTTGATTTTTTGTTGTTTTTGGTCACATTGATTTTGATGATTATCATAATTGAAAGTGAAAATCATTATCGATCAGAATTACAGACGAAATTGAAGAATAAGCGGAAAAACCGAATTATCATGATATAACAGAATCACTTTATTCAATGAATTTTTTCAACAACAACAAAACTGTATGTTTTTTCCAAACAAACAAACAAACAAAAATTCAAGTTAACCAACTAACCAACTTACACAATAAACAATGATCAAAGTGAATGAAAAAAAAATCTGATTGGAAGTTAAAAAAAATACTAATAATCGATACACCGATGGAGAGAGAGAGAGAAAGCCATCACCACCATCATCATCATCGACAATAAGAAATGAAAAAAAAAGAGAGTATGATGATCATCTTGTTGGCTGGTTGGTTAATTGGTTAGTTGAGAATATGTGATGTCAACATCGACGTTTTTCTACAATTAATAATTTTTCTTATACAGCGAAGTCAACGACGACATGAAGAAGTAAACCAATAGAGCATCCGAATATCTCTCTCTCTCTCTCTCTCTCTCTCTCTCTCTCTCTCTCTCTATCTCTGTCATTTTCTTCATTAGCTTTATACCTGGGATACCTTTTGCACACACCTCAAACACTAACACTGACTTTTCAAAGAATGAAAATGAGAAGAAAGAAAGAAAAAAAAATCTACTAACTAACTTGGTTATATGGGAAGAAGAAGAAGTAAAAATTTAATTTTTTTTTTGTTGCTTCTTTTCAATTTAGGTAAGTAGTGAAAGTTAAGTGCACAATAACAACAACAACCAAAAAAAAAAAATAAGAAAATTTTGTGACTTTTTTTTATTGGTTGGTTGGTTGTTTCATTTTTGGGGGTGATGAAATTTTTTGAAAAGAAAGAAATTCTAGCACATAGGTAAAATATGGTCCTATAGGAAATGGATTGAGAATATTTCCAGAAAAAAAAGAATTTATCAAATTTTCGAGAAATTTTTCAATTGCAAAATAGCAACTTTTAAAATGAAACTAAAAATTCAAAATTAATCTTTCTTTCTTTTTTTAAACTAATTTTTCAATCAAAGTAAATTGTTTCATCATCATCATCATCATTTTGTTTTGGAAATTAATAAAAAGAAAAAAAAAAGAAACGAAAGAATCATCGATTACATCGTGTGCGTCCACCGTTGTTGTCAAATTTGCTGTTGTTGCTGCTGCTGCTGCTGGTTTTTATTTCTGTCTTTTTTTTTCTTAAACCTGAATTTTTTCATTTCGATAATTTTTTTTTTTTGAATGTTGATGATGATCATGATGATGATGATGTTACCTACCGATCATCATCAACATCATCATCAAATGTATGTATTGTTCTTTGGAAATTTGTTAATTAACTAATTTTTTCATCAATTTTATTTTGTTTTTGTTTTTGTTTTGTTTTTGTTTTTCATCAGTTTCTATTTTCATCAATTTTTTTTTGTACATTTTACTCCGCCTTAACTACACTGAAAAAAAGAAAAATCCGTAAACATTTCTAACTTTCTCTTTTCTTACAAATTCAAAATTTTACACTGGAGATATATATCCATTTCAATTCATCATTAATCGATTTTGATTTGTGGAAAAAACGAAACAAAAAATTCAAGTAGCCACCATTCATCTGATTTTTTTTTTTTCGTTCGGAAAATTTGATCCTCCAAAACAAAACAAAACAAAAAAAAATGTGATTTACAATGAAATATATGATAATGCAGCCAAAAAAACAAAACGATGATGACAAACGATCATCATAATCATAATCAACAAGCAAAAAAGAGAAATCCATTTGACATTCAACGAAAAGACGAAGACGAAGCAAGAAAAACCAATCGCCCCATAGATAATAAATTTTCACCAAAGATGAAAAATTATGTATGCAACATGGAAAAAAGATAAGAAATGTAAAAAGAAAAAAAAACTTGTCAAAAATGTCCCATGTTTTTCAATCATTCAAATGAAATATAAGTAATGTAAGTAAGTAATGATGATGATAATAAATTAACCATCATCACCCAGAAAACAGAAAAAAAATTTTTGACCGCCAAAATTTTTCTTATTTTCATATTCATCATCAATTTGTTTTTCATTTTGTTTTGTTTCAGAAAATGATGATGAGAGAATCCTTGGCTATTGCTGACTGGTTGATTTGGGCCCTTCGTCATCGTCGTCGTCGTCGTCGTCATTGCCTGTCACAACTTGTCGTAAGATTGCAATAATTTTTTTTTCATAAATCCCCAACAAATTGCTCATCATAATCTATGAATTCAAATGAGAAATGTTTTTCTTCTTCGTGGACGAAAGAAAACCGGCAATGTTTTTGTGTGTTTTTTTTGGTGTTTTGCCAAAAAAAAAACCAAATTTTCACACACATAAATCCTTTATCTATTTTTTTTTTATTGGGCATCATTTTTTTTTTGTCAATTTCTCAGCTTGGTCAAACCGAAACTATTTCGCCTGAATTAGTTATGATGATGATGATGATGATGAAAATCCGTTAATGAAGTGGAAAAAAAATTGATGATGAATAAATGAAAAAATCAATATTGATTCAGAAAAAAAAACGAACAACCAACCAACCAACTATCTCATCTCACAGGTATATTTGGTCATTGTGAACTTCATTTCTTTCTCTCTCTCGTATTTAACCCCGTGACAGATGGAAATAGGTTTATATTTGGAAACCATCAATGTTAGTCAAATAACGGTAAAAAATTCATATTTTTTTTGTTTTTTTTTGAAACAAGATGTGAAAAAAATATCACTTTTTTCTCTTTCTCTCAGCCACTATTTTTGTTTTTTTCTTCTTCAGAATTGATTCTTTGAGGATCAAGTTTATTGGATGGAAGAACGAAGAACGAATGAAAAAAAAGCCATTTTCAGTGAGAAAATTTACACATTTTTTTTTGCTTGTTGTTTACATCAACTGTTAATATTTGTCAACGACGAATTTGAAAAAAAAGTCAAAAAATCAATGGAAAATTTCAAATAAATTTTTTTTATTAATTTTAATTTTTTTTATGGCAGGCTAATTTAACAAAAAAAAAAAGTAGATTTTGTTTTTTACATCGAATAATGATGATACTAAAAATTACAAACAGTGAGTAAAGAGAGTGGAGTGAGTGTGTTGGAAAATATCAATAATTATTTTTAAGAATTATTTAAAATTTTAAGCTTATTATTTAATTCCCAAAAACGTTCTTCAGTAACACGTTTTATATCATCACAAAGATCATCTAAATATGTATAACGACAACGATCAAATGAAAAATAATCTCTTACAACAGCATGTGTTGAATCTTTAACTGATTCACATTTAAATTTTAGATTATCATCAGTACCTAAAAAACCCCATGCTAATATTGGTGATAAATGATCAAGTATACGATAAAAATGTTCAAAAAAACCATCTTTAACTAATAATTTTGAACGTTTACGACGCATTACTGTTGATATTGTTGTTTGTAATGCAATTTCACGAAACGATGCCGATAGCCATTGATTACTAATTATACTTTTTACAGCTGATGGTGGATTTTCAATATCATCAAATGATTCTAATAACATATAATCCAAAACAATATCATAAAATGATACTAATGGTATATTTCTTGGTTCAATTTCCATTTCAATTGTTGAAAGATTATCTTCATTTTGAACAAAATCTAAAAATGTATAATATGCTTTGATACATTCGTTTGAATCCTAGGTAATAAAGAGAAAAGAAAAAAAGAAAAAAATTAATCAAGACAAATTCAAGATTTTGGAAGTAAAAAAAAACAAAGCAAAAAACTAAAAGATTTTTTTGGTTAAAATGAAAAAACTAAATAAGCAGATGCATACGCAAATGGTTACCCTCAATGAATGATCCATTATTATACGTAATATTTCTTCACCAATTTTTGCATAACGATAACGTAAATCTTGATTAGTAAATAATGATTCAAATGCTTTACGTAAACAATGAACTTTAGCAAGAAAATCATTATAATTTTCACTACCAGTTATTATTGTACGATCAGTTTTTGGTGGTTTAATTTTATCCACAATATTTAATGCATCTTGATATAATTGAAAAAAATGTAGATTAGGTTCGGGATCCCAATAACCAAGTGATGCTGTTGTTGCCGATGATATATATGATGCTTGATCATCAAAATCATCGCCATCATTTTCATCATTAATTTGATTAATTGGTCCATATGTTATAGGCATATATTCATTTCGTAATGATTCTAATTCATTTATCATTGAATCAAGTTTTTCATGTAAACTAATAATTTTATTATCAATATTTGTTGTATCAACTTTATATTCTTTAAGAATATTTTGTTTTATTTTCATTTCATCTAATGTTTGTGCAACATTGTTCAACTTATCCAAACTAATTTTTATCAATTGTGTTGTGGATAGATTTTTCAATGATGTTTCAAATATATCCGAATCTTTGAATGATAATTTTTGATTACTACGACAATATGAACATTTATTTGAAAGTAATGATGAACGTATTTGATTATGATGATTTGATGATGAATGGTGATCATCTATAGTGGCTAATAAACAACCATCAGTATTATCCGAATGATTTAATGAAATTGAATTTGTATTTGTACCCGGTGTTGTTACTTGTGAATGATCAAATGTATCATAGAAATTTCTTCTACTATCGTTAACATTTGATTGTTTTTTTCGCCGTTTTCTCAGATACAAATAAAGCTGTTTACCGATATAAAAACTGCCAAGTATTAATGGTGGACCAAATATGATCAATCTTCGGGCAATAATATTTTGTGGCAATGAAATTTGTTGCAATCGAAATGATCGTAATAACGATGTTGATGACATTTTCGATAATTTTCTTTTTTGCGATTTTTGTTAATTCTTTATGATTAATTCAGGGGGTAGAACAGATAAAAATTGATTGAAATGATCATTATTCTTAATTTTCGTTTAAATTAAACAAGTATAAATTGACAAAATATCATGCCATGGCAAAATTTTTGTCCGGTCAACATAACGAAAAAAAAACATCTGCAAAAAAAAACTAGTATTGGGTGAAAATAGTCGTACATGTGTGGAAAACGTTCGATTGGATGAAGAAAAAAAACGAAGCAATGGGAAAAAAATGAATCAAAAAATTTCGATCAAATTATCTCGTGAAAATCTAAGCATTGATGAAGCGAAAAAATTCGTATCATCACCAAATTGTGGTGCAATATCCATATTTATAGGCACAACACGAATCAATGAAAATGATTCGACGTAAGCAAACAATTGAAATTGGTTTTATTTATTAAAAAATTCATACATTATATTTTAGCAATTGTCATGTTCATTCACTTTATTATGAAGCATATGATCAAATGGCATTGAATATGATGAATAAAATAGTGATGGATATATTATCCGAACAGAATGATGATGATCAATCAAATATAAAAGTATATGTTCGCCATAAAATTGGTCATGTACCATTGGGTGAAACATCGATTATTATTGCCGTATCATCACCGCATCGATTAGCTGGTCATCGAATGGTGATGGAAATTTTGAATAAAATTAAACAAACTGTACCGATATGGAAAAAAATACAGTTCGATAGTAAAGATATCATTGATGGTAAATGGAGTGATAAAAGTGAAGCATTCTGGCTACAGCAATCATAAAATTGATTTATTATTTTTTCATCTAAGATCACCATATTTTGATGCTTCAAAATCTGCCTGAATTTTTTGATAACAATTAAATACATCTTGATTGGATGATAGATCAGCTATATGAAATCCATTAGCTCTATCGACTAAAGTGATCACTTTGGTTATCATTTCTGTATCGTTAATATTCAATGGTACATATGAAACTATAGCATAATTTTCAATAATCGATGCAATAGCTTCGGTAAGCTTTTTATAACGTGCTAATCGTGGATCATCAGAAATTCTATCAACCAATCGATTAAGATCGGGCAATTCACAATAAAAATCTAAACCAAAATCAATTTCACCATAACGTTCAATGAGATCGATTTTTGAAAGAACATTAATAAATGGAGCTTCAATATGTAGCATAGAAATTAGTGAATTCAATACGACTGTAATAAATTTTGTTGGATCATTTGCATAATGTGAATCAACAATATTAACAGCTACTAATCGCATATCGATTGGAAATTTTTGCCGCCTTTTTTCACTTGTTTCAGGATCTAGATTTGTATTCAATAGATGATGTATTAGTTTTTTAAACACAGGATAATTAGTATATAATTCAATTTGTCCTGGACAATCGAATAGAATGTATGGTTGTCGACGATCAACATTGTTTGTCACATTTGATTGTATACGTTGTTTAGCTTTAATAAATTCTTCGTTGATTCTTCTGTATAACCATTCGATATTTTTATAAAGAAAATCAATACAATATAAAAATGAACCATTTGGACCTAAATTTTCATTTTGCATAACTTCATTCATACGAATCATTTCATGAATATTTAAATGACAATTATATGGAAATGTTTCATTATCGGGATCAAGATTTACAATAATCACATCACGATTAAGATTATTTAGATATTTGGAAATAACATTACAATAAGTAGTTTTTCCACTACCAGCTGGTCCGATTATTAATTGACCGAATAATTTTTCATTTTCATTCATGATGATTTTGTTTTTTGTTTTGTTTTGTTTTTGAAAATGACAAAATTTTCACATGGATTTGGATTTGTGCGAATGAAAACAAAGATTCTATTTCCACTGTTATGGATCCATTTGTGTGTAATAAGGATTTTGAAATAATTTATTGAAAAAAATTTTCAAATTAAAATTAAAATTAATTAATTAACTAAAATTAGTTTAAAAAATAAATTTGTTAAAATAATTTTGTCATGTTAATTTGATAATATGATATCATTGATAATGAATGCATTGATCCAATACCAGCTATAATGATAATAATATGAAATATTGCATGCGAACTAAATAGATCACAATGACCAGGGAATAAACGTTCCGGATATTTTAATGAATAAATTAATCCAGCCAATAAATAGGAAAAATCAGTCATTAAAACGAACGAAACAATTTTCAATGGATAATTCCAACATATTTTCAATTGTGGTGGTAATGATAATGCAGCAACCAATACAAATATTAATGTACGTTTCCAACCATTCATATTTGTATTAACAATCGATGTAAACATTGAATAATAATTCATTAATAAACATATTGAACCAATAATAATAAACATTAAAACATAACCAAATTGAATAAACGATGAATGATGATAATAAACAAAATAAACTAATGTTAACATACAGCCAATTAAATGAAATATAATACCAAAATAATCTAAACGTGTAAGAAAACAAGAAAATTCATATGATGAACCAATATTGAATATATGATATAATATTGAACAATAATATGATATTGTTATGCCAGTATAGGTAATCGACATGAATAGTATATCTGTTGATTGATTAGAAAAGAACAAAAGAAAATTAAATTTTTTGTTTTTTTTTTGTTTTTCGCTAAAATTTACTAACCAATTGAATTGATAAGGTGTGAAGGAAATCTGTAGTAAACATAATAATGACTTATGAAAAGACCAAATAAATGTGTCCAAATATTTGATGTTTGATTATGTATTGTAAACATTGAACATAGACATTCAAAATGATTAAGATTTGATGGACGAAACCATTTCCGAATGTATGGATTATCAACAATCCATTTTGGTGTTTCATTTGCCGAATTAAGTTTATTAAGATAATTTAGCATGATTAAAATAAAAGGTAAAAAGGTAAAATCTAAGGTATTCGTCTAAGTGGCTAAAAATAGTGACAAGGTAAGAGCAGAAGAGAGAAAAACAAAGAATTTTTTTCTCGTATCCGAGGTAACAAAAACAGACCATTTTTGAATTTTTTTTCTTCAAAAAAAAATTAAAATTCGATTTTTTTCTACGTTCCCCAGGTGAAAAAAAAACTTGAAATTATTGATCGTTTTGGTTTTCAAGCTCAAAAAAATTTGACAAAAAAAGGTAATTTTTTTAGGAAAAAAACATTAAGTTTTTTCTTGTTTTTGGTAAAATTTAAAAAAAATTTCGAAATCCGGAATCTGGAAAATCGGCATTATTCATAGATAACGTTTCGATATTTGATTTTTTTTCCCTTTGGCGCCCTTTGTTTTTGAAATACTTTGATCATTTGCCAGTTTGCTGTCAGAGGAAAATTGAAATAAAAGTGAGGGAACGAGAGTGAAATCAACAAAACAAGATGACACAATTACTGTACATGGGAGTGAAAAAAGCGAAAATTTTTTTCACAAAAAAATTCGTTATCAAAACGTCGTTTTTATGCCGTTACATCTTCACATGTGAAACACACGTTTTTTTCGTTTGTTTGTTTGTTTCATTCGATTCTTGATCATAAAAAATGACAAAAAATTATCATCATTCTTTACAATTCTTATTGTTAATTGCTGCTGCTATAATCATTCCGATCGAATGTGAAATTGAATCGATTAAAGAATCATCATCATCATTCGAGTTTACTGTATTACCACCAAAACATTCGGATATATTAATCAAAAATGGACGAAAAGAATATGAAACATTATTGGAAAAACGTAACATACCTGTATATGGTAAATGTTGGGAACTGGCTATTGAACGTTTAGAAGAAAATTGTAATCAAATGAATGAATTACGACAATCATGGTTATCAATATCATTTACATCATGTTTTCTTCAAAATATGGGTAGTAAATTGAATATTGATTCCTGTCAACAAGTAATCCGATGGAATGATAATGATAATATTGGTCATATTAAACCGGAATTTTCATCCAACCGAGACAAAATAAAAGAATGTACACGTAATATGATTGATTCCAATCTATTCAATACATATACAATGTTTTTTATTCATACACAAAGTATTTGTTTTTATCTACAATCAGAAAAATGGCAAAAAAATACTGAAAAATTAGTGAATAATCTTGTTCATGATGCACATATTGTTTCGAATGAATTAACAACAGCTGTTGGTCAGATACAAAATTTAGAACAATTACAACATTCATCATTGGAAGCACAGATAACAATAAATCATGAATTAAATCAAGCTAAAATGAATTTGGAACAATTTCAACGACAAACAAGAAAACAACAAGATTTGATTGAAAAAATTATTACACAATTTACAGTGTTACAAGATTTTCTTATCACTGAATTTTCAACAAGTTCAACAATATTTTTCTATATAATAACAATGTTGGTTATTTATTTTATCACAACACCAAAACGAACTATTGATATTCGTTCATGGTTATATATGATTATGATTGTTTGTTTCTTTTTCGAGAAAAAAGGACTGGAATATTTATGCTGGTGGTTGAATTTAATTCCATCAAATTTATCATCATCGACGAATATATTCGATTCAATCATACAAATGCAATGGGATATGAATCAAAAAATATGGTTATTAAGAAAATCGATGCTTTTCACACAGGCATTCATATTTATTTGGAGATTTTTAACCTATAAAGATATGAATGAAATTAATAATCAAATTCTTTGTACGAATGCATCAATTTTAAGAAATATTCATCAAATGTTAACAATCGATAATCATAAATATACGATACCATCAAGAATATTATCAAATGAATCGGAGTATAGTACCGAAGATGATGATGATAATGAATCATCATTATCTGATTATGAAACAGATGAATCATTTCAACCAAATGATGACGATAGTTTTGATTTAAATCAATCAAAAAATTCATATAATTTTCGACCAAATCGCTCCACAATATTTATTGATAATGAAGATTCGAATCATCGACTATTTCGATCACCGGAACGATTTGTTTGGAAACAGGAACAAAACTCACGATTATACGACAAATGAATTTCCAAAATGAAATTATTCGACATTTTTTTCTTCTTTCTTTCTTTCTTTCATTGATATTTAAAATTTATTCAAATAAAATAAAATTCAATTAAAATAAAATAAAATTGTTCGTAGATATTGATTGATTGATCATTTGGCAGAGAAAAAAAAGCATCAGAAATATTTTATATTAAGGGATCTTGGATGCTGAATTGTTTTTCCCTTTTGTTGTCATAAGTTCAATTTGTGTTTGTGTAATGTGTGTGTGAAGATGCAAATAAAAGTAGGCTTTTGAGATTGAATGAAAAAATGAAGTTTTTTGTTGTTGTTGTTGTTGGTAAGAATAACAACCATTCCAATTTAACCAGTAATAGCTTGTACACGTTTAGCATTACAACCACGGCAAAGAATATGATCATCTAATGGATAACAACCACGTCCTTCAACTTCAGATGAAAGCAACAGGTCACAATCCTTGTAATAATGGAAAAAGAATTAAAATTTATTCATCAATTGTAATAAAAAAACGTATACATACTTCACATTTATAGCAATTAACATGAAAACTTCGTTCCAATGCAACAACACGAACTGTTTCAGTTTTACCTGCTTCCGGTATGATTGGTTTGTTACAAACTGAACAACGTGGAGCAAAATTACTAATGAAAAAGAAAGAGAAAAGATAAAAATTTTAAATTATAACTAGAATAATTTTATGATCAAATCAATACATACTTATGAAAACAATCAATACAATGAACCTGATTGGAAGCATCAACCGTAAATGGTATACCATCCAAACATTTTTCACAAACAACACAGGTAAAACAACTTGGATGATATGGTTTACCTGTTGCACGAAGTATTCGATCCAAAATTGGTTTTTCACAAACTGAACATTTTTCCAATGAATTCTACAAAAAAAAAACAAAATTAGAAAATAAAAATCAAATAGAAAATTATCAAACTAACCATATAACATTGTTCACAATGTGGATTATTATCCATCGAATAGAATGATTTACCACGAAGTTCACTGTCTTTAAAAATCAATGAAAAACACAATGAATAGAAAAATTCAAAATCAAATAAAAAAAAAGATTCACTTACTACATCCATGACAGGTAAAACATTGTGTATGATAAACCATTTCCATTGCTGTACAGCCACTTCCTTCGCCTACAACTTTTTCACCACATTTATTGCACATTCCTGAAACAAATGATGAAATCAAAAATATTAAATTTAAAAATTTCATCGAAACAAAACAAAACAATTAAAAAAAAATACCAAGAACATAATCCGGTAAATCACTATCTTCAATTCTGATATGGTCAAACATTTGCAAACATAAAATGAATCAAACATTAGTTTTTTTAAAAAAAATTGAAACCAAATGAAAATGAACGGAATGAACTATGATAGTTTGTTGTTTTCATACACAGAACAAAAATTTAAAAATTATGAATTTTCAAACAAAAAAAAAGAATCATCAACATCTCAGAAAAAGCAAACAGAAGCAAGAAACAATGTCAAATGTCATTATCAATAATCATTCATTGTTTTTTTTTCTCAAAATCATTCATTGCTCTATTTCACAAACAAGCAAACAGAATATATATCTTCTTGAATAACAGAATTGAATAAATTAACATCATTGTTAATGAATGAAAAATAATCATATATCAAATCAAATATATCATATCAAAAAAAAACAAAAACGGAAATATTTTTCAATGATAAAAATAATCTTGAAGTTTTCATTCATTCAAAATGATGATGACGATTACATCGTTATCATAGCCATATTGTGTCATCATCAAATAAGATTCTTTTATTTGTTGTAAAATTCTAAAAGAATTTTTTGTTTTGTTTTTTGTTTTTTATTCTTGTCATTTTACATCATTATCGCCCACTCTACATCTTATTCTTATGCAAATAGTGAGCAAGCAAAAGAGAGAGAGAAAGAATTAAACAATTCTTCAGTTTGAATTGCATCATAACATTTTTTTTTGTTTTTTTTGTACTCATTTTATAAGATTCTTATGTGGGTGGGTGTGTAGTGTATATTTTACACATCCTATCCTATACATAATCAAATCATCATCATAATGATGGTGATGATTATTTTGATGATGATGACAATGAATAATGACGATTAATGGATAATTATCATCATAATCATCATCATCTAATTAGAATTATTCGTCACACATTCATTGTTTTTAGTAAAAATAGCCAAAATAGTTTAAATAGTCGAACAATAATAATGAGAAACTTCCTGTTTTATAAATTTCGGTGATGAAAAAAATTTTCCGGCAAAAAAAACATCTAATTTGATTGACATTAGACATTTTATCAAAATATAATCAGGTTACTGTGTAAATTATGATTTAGTTTTTCCCATAGGAAAAACAAAGAATAATATGATAAATGCCGAATCAAATGACTTTGATGAATCTATATATTTCTCTATATATAGCGCAAAACAAAAAAATTCAAGTGAATTCAAGTGAAAATAAAAATCAGCAAATAAAAAACTAAAAATATCCCCAAAAAAAGTAAATTTGTTTTTTTTCTACAAACAAATAAACAGATTGATGAGTAAAAAAAAGTAAATTGCAAAAAATAAATGAAATTTTACAACATAAAGTTGACAACAACAACAACAAACTACAACTACATTTTTTTAAAATGGGTGTATTCCGTTTTCTAACTACATCTATCTGTCAATGATGATTTTCAATCATATCAGTATATCTTCTGATTGACATCTATAGAATCTCGATTTGTTTAAATCGATGTTTTACAAAAAAGAAAAAGAAATCATTTTTTAAAAACAAAAAATTACCATAAAAATCAATTTCACCCGAATTTTCCATGCTTTTCACTAATAAATCAGTTAGATGATCAACTTGTTTTTCTTGATTTCCTTTTACCACGATTTGTTTTGGCCTATTATTATTATTATTATTGATTGGTGATGATGATATTGTTGTCGTCTGATTCGAACGTGTTGGATGATAATCTATTTTTAGTTTAAAAATTTTTTTAAAATTCTGTTTAAAAAGTTGATTTCTTACTTACAATTTTTAATATTTGTTGATGATTGATTTTTTAAGCTCGAAATATTTTTGTTATTATTGATAGAATTTTTCGAATTATAATTCTTTACAAAGATTTGATTCGATTGATTCAAGAATGGTGATTGATGATGATTCTGTTGTTGTTGTTGTTGATCACGATAATGTTGATTATTATTAGCTAATGATGAATGATCGATAACTGGTTCAAATATTGAATCATAAATATTTTGTACCTGCAAAAAAACAACAAACAAACAATTAGAGAAAACCAAAACAGACAAAATGAAATGATTTTGTTTATATATTCGTTGGTATATTTATATATAGGGAGATTACAATCAAAAGAAAATGAAATAAGAAAAAAAAAGTCAAAACAAAATCTAAATCTTACCGGTATCAGAATAATAATTATGTTTCTTATTAATTAATTTTAGTTTTATGGTAGGATAATCGCTTATTTCACTACAAACAGAATTAAAAATCCGTATAAATTTACAAAGCCAAAGCCAAAAAAATTAAAACAAAACAAAAAAACAATCACAAGATTCTGTTGTAATTATTTTGTTATTGTTTTTCAATGATGATGATTATGATGATGATCCATGCATATAGAATAACAAACAAACAAACAAACAAGGAAAATGAAACCTGAATAAATTTTTTCTTGTTTTGTTTCGTGTTTTTTGGGTAGATATTTTCAGTGAAAAAAATCGTTTTTTAAAATCAAGGATTTCTCCTTAAGTTTGCACTCTTTTTTTCTTTGATTCTGAATAATTATTCTGTTGAATGTTATTCATCAATTTTCAACAACAACAAATTGTTCAGTGATTCTCATTCAGTAAAATTAAAATGTTAACAACAAACATAAACAAACAAAAAGGTTAAGAATCACTGAATGAAAATGAAAAAAAAGTGTGATACATTTGAAAAGACTTGAAGAATCACAAAAAGACAAGCTAAAATAAGAGGGACGAGATTTTCACAGAATTTTCTTTCGTCGTTTTACTTTGAAGAATTAATTTACACTTTTTTTTCTCTCATCTCAATTATGTAGGTTTTGAAAATAAAACAATTTTAGTAAGTGTGCGCGTAGGTGTGTGCGTGTGTGCTGTCAATTGACATGGATGAAAAATAAAATCTCAATCTTCATCAGTGCAAAAAAAAGATGTTTTTTTTCATCTTTCGAACAGAGGATCAAATACAGTGCCGAGATTCATATTCTTTGCGTCTCAGTGTACGTCATAATATTCACGATATTCAATTCTTTCTAGCTTGAATTTTAAAAAAAGTCAAAACGAAATTCCTATATAGAATTGCTAAATATAATTCATTTTTTTTTCAATCCCCCTTGTTTATTTGTTTGGCTTAAAATTAGCTTTTTTCAAAATAAAAAATATTAATTCTTATCATCATCATCCATCAAACTGAAAAAACATCGTGAATATTCTCACCGAAAGAATATTAAAACCCGGTAACAAAAATACAAATGTAGCGGTAGTAAAATCAGTTATAAAAATGATTTCACCATCTGAGCTGAACAGAAACAAACAAATAAATAAATATGGCACATTAACAAAAACAAAAACGGTTTCGAAGATTGGATCAAGGTTAATATTATCATCATCATGTCATCGACGTCATCATCTCAAACAATTATTCAACAAAACAACAAATATTGTCCAATGTTCTTGATGAAAAGGCAAAAGAACAAAGCAAATCACATAATTTTTTTCAACTTACTTTTAAAATTTACAATATTTTTTTTCACTGGATAGCAATTTAAAAACAAACAAATTTATTTGGAAATTTTGTTGTTGTTGTTCAACTAACTAACTAAATTTGGAATGATAATTTTCAAAAAACCTTTAGTTTTTCCATTGTCAATCATTTAACAATCCAAAGGGTAATATATTGCGTTCGTTAATTTTGTTCTATGTACATCCGCCTACACAAATACACACTGTTTACAATGTACATATATCAATCATCATCATTATCATAAAACACGGATTTTCTCTCGATGTTTTACTCTTTCTCTCTTGATTAATCCGGGTTTCATTGAAACAGAGAAAAAACAACAAAATATTTTTTGAAAATGTCATTGTCAAGATTGGAAAAACTGTGACACTTGAAAATGTCAATTTGATATAAAATCCTATACTGATATGGTATAATCCTGATAAATCAATCAACACAACAGAAAAAAATTTAACACCTCTTACTTTTGATTTAGATCCATGGATAGAATTGTTATTGTTGGTTGGATTTTTTACCATTCGATAATCATCAATATTTCCATATAATGGTGGCTGATTTTTTGATTGTTGCTGTTTTTGATTTTCAATTGACTTTACTACTAATTGATTTGAATGATGATAATGATTTAAATTTTTATGATCAACATTATCAATATTGACACCAGAAAATGTATCAATCAAATTGGCATATGTTGCAGAATTTTCTATATCGGAAGATAGTGCTAGTGGTGGTGGTGGTGGTAAAGGAAAATTATTTCGTGAATCAAATTTGTTTGTTTTCGATTGTTGTTGAGAAATATGTCGAATATTTGATTCTTGATGATTCAACGGAATTTTCAATGGTTTTTGTTGTTGCTGTTGATGATAATAATGAAAAGAAGGAGGCGGCGGTGGTGGCAATGACAGATTGTCTAAATCTTCATAATTATTATTGTTATGATTTAAAATTTCATGATTTGTTATTGGATTAATATTGTTATTGGCATAAATTCGTGAAGAAGAAGAAGAAGAATCGGGAGAAAATGATTGGCCTAGCAAAAACAATTTGTAAACATTTCAAAAAATGACAACCGGATCATTTTTTTGGAAACTTACCAGAATTATGGATTAATAAATTGTTGTAAATATTTGATGAAGGTAAAATGTTTGGATTAGTACGTTGTTGATGTTGTTGAGAATTAGGATTATTGTTATTTGAATTCTGGATTTTATTCGGAATCGTATAATAAGACATATTTAAATGCTGAAATTTTCTGATGGCACTTGTTGATCACAGTGTTAAATGGAAAGTGAAAGAATGATTGAGTGAAAGAGAAACAAAATATCAATCGAACATCGATTGATTATTGCCAAATTTATTGGAAATGCCAAATTTTTTCAAGATTGCACAAAAAAAAATTGTGTAAACAAAAAACAAGAAATGGACGAATTCATCATCATCATACGAAATATATCGAAAGAATTTTTATATCATTCGAATTCAATGACGAATACAACACTGACAACAGTTGGGTCGATAGTTGATAGTATCGATAATATACGCCCATTACTTTGATTCGAATTCTGCTCACACAATATTGTCACGTGTTTTATTCGTGTTTTTTCTCTCGGTTTTTTTTACCAAAAAAAAAATTGTTTTGAAAATATTTTGCTGTTTTTTTCCAAATCAAAATAATTTATTTATTTTGCAATTATATCCTGAATTAAACATGGCTGATGATGAAAGTATTGGTATGACTATACATTGATTTATGTGATTCATTTGTTTTGATAATAATCCTTTTTGTTTATTTTCTTTTTCTCTGAAAAAAAATTAGTGGACAATCCATGGAAAATGGATATACCGAAATTTCGTCCCGAAGATAATCCACATGGTGTTCTTGTTGAAAGTGCATTTGCAACATTATTTCCAAAATATCGTGAAAAATATTTAAAAGAATGTTGGCCATTAGTACAAAAAACATTAGCCGAATATTCTATCAAAGCTGAATTAGATTTATTAGAAGGAAGTATGACTGTTGCAACAACAAGAAAAACATGGGATCCATATATAATAATCAAGGCTAAAGATATGATAAAATTATTGGCACGTTCAGTACCATATGAACAAGCGATCAAAATACTTGAAGATGAAAATGCATCCGATATAATTAAAATTGGTGATTTAGTAAATAAAAAAGAAAGTTTTATACGTCGACGACAACGTTTACTTGGGCCAAATGGTTCTACATTGAAGGCAATAGAATTATTAACTAATTGTTATGTATTAGTACAAGGTAATACAGTTGCTGCAATTGGTCCACATAAAGGTTTACAACAGGTTCGAAGAATTGTTGAAGATACAATGAAAAATATACATCCAATCTATAATATTAAAGCATTAATGATCAAACGTGAACTTGCTAAAGATCCTAAACTTCGTAATGAAAATTGGGATCGTTTCCTGCCAAAATATAAAGCAAAAAATCTATCCAAACGTAAACGTCCGAAAACTGTAAATAAAAAGAAAGAATATACACCATTCCCACCGCCACAAACTGAAAGTAAAATTGATAAACAACTTGCAACGGGTGAATATTTTATGGAACAAAACAAACAACATCGACGTGATAAATCGGCAAAAAATATCGAAACAAAACGTCGACAACAAGAAAAACGTGAACGATCATTTATTCCACCATCGGAACCGGATTTTAGTTCAACAAAAAATTAAATCAAGAACCAAGAATTTTTCCTTGGATTCTGCGTTCATTTTGTTGTTTTGTTTTGTTTTGTTTATCGTCATTAATCTGATTGCAATTAAGACTGATGATGACGTTGATGGAAACAATGTGTGTGTGATTTTATGTGTTTAATGTGTGCATGTATACCGGGATACCATTATCGAGATAATTGCCTATCCATCAATTAGTCTTCGGTATAAATCGGATCTTTACACACAAAACCTAAAGTTTATCTTTTTGTGTTTCATGTTTGTGTATAATCCATTATCATTGAATTTATTCATTATCTAAAAATAAAAAAGAAAATGACAAAATTAATGACAAAAAAAAAGAAAATAAATTGTTTTGATTCTGTACCGAGAATTCTTTAAAACCAAAAAAACAAAAACACGGTTATCCAACTTTGAATTTATCATCAATCATTATATTTATGAATGATGATGATGAAAATTACCAATTGTCACGCGACGGATTTTCTTTTTGGAGAATGTTTGACATTTTTTTCTTGGTTTCATTCCCCCCTCCACAAATTTACCATCAAAATGTATGTGGATAATTCTTTTGTTGTTGATCCAGTTCCAATATCATCATCATCATCATCATCATTTGTCGATTATTTCAACATTATCATTTCATTTAATGGTTTTTATTTTTTTGCGATGTTTGATTTGTTTGTTTTTTTTTTCTTATTTGAGCAAAGAATCAACACAGTTTGTTAATGATGGTCAATGATTATCATATCATTTTCCGTTTGTTCTATATAGATTCTTGATGACTAGATCCAGAAATGATTATTATTATGTTTACGTTTGTTTACCTAAGTAAAACAAAGAAAAAACTTGACAGTTTGCTGCTTTTTTTTTTGTTGGCTCATTCATTCACATTTGATCATTGTTTAAATATTTGATCATTGATCATCATCATCATAAGAATTCGATTCGATCTAAATTATCGGTTGTTGTCGTTGGTTGTTGTTGTGTTTTGTTTCTTGCTCATTCTGACGTCCAGAAAAGAAAAACAACGGGAGAAAAAAAAATTTGACATTTACGGGATAATTATTCCAATGTTATAATAATAATCGGATTGTAGAATAATCGCCAAATCAACCGACCACCAACTGCCACCACCACTACATTATCAGATCCATTTTCTTCTTCTTCGTCTTTTTTTCTGGTAAAAAACAAAACAACAAAAATCTTTCATTATATAGAATATTGGATTTCAATTTGATTAGTCGAGAAAAATCCATCTAGAGAATAAGAATCTAATTCGTTTTACAATCATATTTACCCGGTGGTTTTTCAATCCAGTTCGTTTTTCTGTTTCATCATTTTTCGATTGGAATCGATTTTTGATTCTGTTGATTGTGATGATGATCAACGCCACCAACATCATCGAATCAATCATCAAAAAATCTATTCGAAATTTTTCTTCAACAATTTTCGTCTTCCAATTGTGGTTGTTCGATTTCCTTCAAATCAACGAGTTACGTTGATTGTGAAAATAACATTTTTTTTCTCCTTCTGTTTTGTTTTGTGATTTTGCCTGTTGATAATTCCTGTTGAAATTTTTAAAAAAAAGAAAGAAAAAACTAAATTCTGTGTTTACTTTTCTGTGTTTCTGTTATTATTATCATTATTATCGTGATGATAATATTGAATGCAATGGGCTGTGCAATCAGTTATTTTAATGATCATATTATTGATCTATCAAAACGTTCGAATATATCAAAAAATTCAAAAGCATTAATTGTTGCACCACATAATCTTTATCGTTTTCTTTCGGAAGATAATCCTAATCCAAAATGTATATTTATATTCGGTAAGAATATTCAACGGTTTCTAAATTTGTTTCTAATTTTCTTTGAAAAAATTGTTTTATTACAGGCGGTCCTGGTTCGAATAAAGGACAATTTATTTGGGAAATAATGGAACAAAGTTGTGAAAATTATCGTAATAATCAGAATAATGATCTAATAAAATTATTATTAATCGATAATGATGATGATGATGATAGTGATGATGGTGATGACGAAATCAATTTTGATAATAATAATGTCAACAATGTTGACAAGAAAAACAAATTTGAAAATAATAATAATAATGAAATTGAAATCGATTTAGAACGATTTCGTTTTAGTTATCATTATATCGATATGGAACGTTTAATTATCGATAATATTGATGATCGAATAAGAAAATTTACTGAATTACCAACAATGGAACAACAACAACAGCAACCAATTTCAATGAATAATTTTTTAACTACCACAAATATTGATGATAATTCTGAATCATTATTGGATGAAATAAATTCATTATCAATTTCAAAACGAAGAAAATCCGAATCATCACAAGAAGAACAATTACGTTTACAATTACGACAATATGCAAATATTATAACAAATAGTTGGATATTAACATTATTAAAACAGGAAATTGAAAAACAAAATCAAGGTCCATATGAAAATATATTTCTTGTCAATATAATACCAAATCGTATAACATTATTTCGTGATTGTTTATTTCTACAACAAACACCAAGTTTTATTAATTTTGATTGTAATTTTGTTGCCATAAAATTAATCAGACATTCAACAAGACGTAAAGAATTGGAAATTAAAAATACAGGTAATGGTGGTGGTCGTAATAATAATAATGGAAATTCATCACATGATATCGATAATAATTATGCAGCTTATTTTCGGTTAGTTTTCCATTTTTTTTTCTTAATTTGGTTACCAATCTTTTTAATCAATTTTGTATTTCATTCATTCATAGAGCTATAAATAAATTATATGAAATACGTGTAAAAAATGCTGAAGATAATATACGTTTACGTTTATCAACATCAAATAAAACGGCTATTTGTATAACAAATAAACAAGAATTAATTACATTTATTTATATGCCGAAAAAAGATTTACTTGAATTGAATATATCCGGTTTTCAATTTAATCAACATTTAAATCAAATATTGAAACAATGTCGTCGACAACAAACATTATTATTTATTATTAATAAAGAAATTGATTTAGATGATAATATAAAATTATTAATCAATGATCATGATAAACAACAATATGATTTAGTATTTTTAAGAAAATTTATACAATTATATCGTTTAACAAGTTATGCATTGAAATTTGTTTGAATTGAAAAAAAAAATAAAAATAAAACTCAATTCGTCAACAACCACAATAACAACAACAACAACAAAAAAACTTCTTTCTTCTTTTCGATTCTCAAACTGTCATCATCATTATCAATTTTCAAATATCTGACAATTGACAATTGGAAATTGGAACGTTTTTTTTCACACACACACAATTCACATAAACAATCATAATTTTCTTTTTTCCTTTTCATTCATTTTCTTTTTACAATTCCAAAAATGAATGAATGAATGAAATTCAAAATAATGATAATAATAAAAAGAAATCTGAATCTACTTACCATAATTGGCCACTAATTGACTGAAATATATGAACAAACAATCATGGATTCGAAAAAATCAATTCAATGACTGAATATCATCTCATTGAATTGACTGAATACAATTCATTCATAATTTATTTGGTCCATAGAAAAGAAAACTCGATAGACAATATTGTCATAAGTTAGGTTGACTAAGTTGGTCTGATGGTTTGGTGTGGTCTTATTGTTTAGTCTAAATGACCCCGGTATTGGTGTGTGGTCTTTGATGATGATGACCAGTAGTTCTTGAACAAAACAAAAAAAATGAATAAAAGAAACTTTTCACAATTGGCTCATCTGCCAACGAACAACAACAACCGAAAATAGATAACAGCAAAAATCAAAAATGCAAATTGTCAACATTTAAATAACAATAAAACACCTAAAACACCAATTGAATTGTGAAACTCAATAAGCAAGTAAGGTAAGGTAAGTGAGTATCGGATGTCTATCGTGAAAAAAGAAAAGAAACTATCGATATTGATTGATTGACTTTACCGAACCGAACCAACCAATGATCCTTATCATCATCTGACACTGTTTAGCAATGGATTTTTTTTTCTCACTCACTTCATTTACATTTTTCATTCATTCATTCACTCGCAAACACAATTGGCTTTTGTCACCGATATTGATTTTGTTTTGTTTGGTTTGGTTTGATTTTTTCAAGAGTAATTTCCGTAACGTGTTTCTCTCGCTCGTTCAAGTACGTTCAATCTTTTGTTATTCATTTTATTATCTAGTCTTTCTACTGTCTACATTTTGCGGTGTGTGTGAAAACAAAAATTTACCAGATTTTTTGCTTGTTTGAAAATACTCGAAAAAAACTATTATATAGAGTGGGTGTTTTACAAACGAAAAAAAAATATTCCCCAGGCAGAATTATTACTCTTTAAAAACAGTTTTAGAACTGTAAATCATTACTATTAAAATACTATTTTAAAACCCTTAAAAAACGCGCTGATTTTAACAGTTTAAGAACTGTTTTTAAAGACTTATTTAAGGTTTTTAAAGATTTATTTCGTTAGGATTTTTAAGCTCTCAAATGTATATTCTATCAACAATCATGGCAATGACATCGACAATTCATTTTTCTGCTAATCAATTTAAACGACAATTACCGGCAATACAATTATGCATGAATGAACCAACAATAAAATGGCAGGTTCATGAATTTTATGAACGTTTAACAACTACCGGTATTGGTATCGGTTATTATTGTGGTCGTATCGCACTTATTAACTATCATAATTCCTTTCAGGTATTTTGTCAATATTTCAGTTAATCAAATAGAAAATTTTAACATTTTTTTTTTCTTAATTTCTAAATTAAGCTTTTAATGTCATATTTTGGTTTAATGCTAATAACGTTTACATTTTTACGTAATAATAATCAATAATTTTCCAATCAAAAAAAAATGATCATAATTATCGAACGTATAAAAAACATGATAACCATTGGAATTTCCATCGTTTATTTGAAGTGAAGCGAATATTTTTAGTTTTCTTGGAATGTCGTCATAGAAACATAAAAAATTTATTAACTACACATGTTTTTTTTCAATCATCAAATGAAACAAGAACAACAAAAGAATAACATTCCTTATATGCTTATAATATCGTTGTTGAAACATGACTTTTGCCATAATGTCACCAACATATTTTTGTACTTTTTTTTGCCGAAATTGTCATTGACAAAAGCAAATATTTAAATTATTTGGAATTCATTAAAGGAAAAAATCATTATAAAATAAAAAGAAAAACATTTTTTCAAAGGAATTTCATGACATTAATTTTTTTTTCGGTTAATAATTTTCAGTACGATCATTACATAATTTTAATTGTTATGTTGTTGATGGTTTTTTTTTCTTATTTAAATTTCTTCATTCATTCGGTTTATACTTTCTTTGATTTCAATCGTGTTTGCATTACTGTACATTCACAATTTTTTGATCAGCCATGTTGTTTGATCGTATAAAATATTATAATCAATTTGAACAATTATTGGATCCGAAAAATCGTCAATGGTTTATAAATGAATTTATATTGCTTACGATTGAGACTGGACGTTTTTTATTCTATGTGATTCTTAGTTTTATGGATGAATCAGTATTACGATCATATTGTCCATATGATACAACCGCTGCACCATTATTTGATTATTTTAATCATTTGAATGATGGAACATCATTGAATCTTAATGATTGCCGCATTATATCGATTATCCTTTTAATATTTCTTATTTTTATTCAATACAGTCATTATATGTTGTATTTAACTGATCATGAATTAATAGCATGGCGTTTATTATATGATGTTTCTAATCGTAACTATGATCATTATCGTGATTCAATAATCGCTAAACAAAATATTAATATTACTAAAACAGTAATCAATGCGTTGTCTAATGACAATAATAATAAATATAATGAAACAATTTCAAATTCATCACCGAAAATAATGCATAACAGTTTAGCAAGAATATTGAAAAAAAATCCAAAAAGTTTTATTGATAAATTAATCATACAGTTTATGCTAGATATTGATCTTTATAAGTTTGAAAAATTGCGATTAAAAATATTTAGCTATGCTGGTTTGGAACAAAGAATCGCATTTGTAATGACAATGTCAATATTAGATTTTTTGGATGTTTTTTTGTTTATATTGTTTGTATCTACTACATTAAGTTTTGGTTGCTTGAAATATTTCAATTTTATCCATATTCATATGTGGCATTTATGGCCATTTGCCATATTCGATTGTATTAATCATCTTTATTGTGGATATATTCTTCTTCGAAATGGAATATTGTTTTTTAATTTTGCTTCAATAAGTCTTATATTTTTTCTATCACAAATGAATATATTGAATAAAAATATTAACAAGCTATTTGGCAAACATAAACATTTGACAAACTGTATCAATTTTCGATTGAATTATTCACGTAAATCGTTTTGGAGACGATTTCAACGACAACATCAACATATGACCTATTGTATAATGTCTAGTGGTCATGATGTTTGGAATAATATGTATCTTATGGGCGTAATGGCTAATATTCCATTGAATATAGTTTGCATTTATAATCTTGTATTCAAATCAAATTCATGGAATAATGAATTAATATCGTTAGGATTTTTAAGTGCTCAAATGTATATTCTTTCAGCAATCATGGCAATGACATCGACCATTCATTTTTTTGCTAATCAATTTAAACGACAATTACCAGCAATACAATTATATATGAAAGATCCATCGATTAAATGGCAGGTTCATGAATTTTATGAACGTTTAACAACTACCGGTATTGGTTTCGGTTATTATTGTGGTCGCATCGCTCTTATTAATTATCATAATTCTTTTCAGGTATTTTGTCAATATTTCGGTTAATCAAACAGAAAATTTTTACATTTTTTTTCCTTAATTTCTAAATTCAGCTTTTAATATCATATTTTGGTCTAATGCTAATAACGTTTACATTTTTACGTAATAATAATCAATAATTTTTCAATCAAAAAAAAATGATCATAATTATCGAACTGATAAAAAACATGATAACCAATGGAATTTCAATCGTTTATTGGAAGTGAAGCGAATATTAGTTTAGTTTTTTTTTGCTCTAAATTTTTCACCGGAATTTCGTCATAGAAACTTAAAAAATTGATTAATTAATCATGTTTTTTTTTCAGTCATCAAATTAAACAATAAAATAAACAAAAACAAAAACATTCATTTTATTCTTATAACAACGTTGTTGAAACTTGACTTTTACCATAATGTCAACAACATATTTTTGTACTTTTTTTTTGTTGAAGAAATTATCATTAATTAAAATGTTTTAATTATTTAGAATTCATTAAAGCAAAAAAATCATTATAAAATAAAAAGAAAATATTATTACTCAACAACAATTAGTGAACAAACAAAAAAAATAATTCATTTTTTCAAAGGAATTTCAAAACATTGATGATTATTTTTCTTTTTTCTTGTAAACAATTTTCAGTACTATCATTATAAAAGTTTAATAGTTATGTTGTTGATGGTTTTCTTCTTCTTCTTCTTTAAATTTCTTCATTCATTCGTTTTATACTTTTTTGATTTCAATTACATTATTGAACATTCAAAAATTTTCAAATCAACCATAATGTTTGATCGTCTAAAATATTATTATCAATTGAAACAATTATTGGATCCAAAAAATCGTCAATGGTGGTTATTCGAATTCATAATACTCACCATTGAAACTGGACGTTTTTTATTCTATGCCATTCTCAGTTTTATGGATGAATCTGTTTTACGATCATATTGTCCATATGATACAACCGCTGCACCATTATTTGATTATTTTAATCATTTGAATGATGGAACATCATTGAATCTTAATGATTGCCGTATTACATCGATTATAATGACAATATTTTTTATTTTTATTCTACATTGTCAATATGTAATATTTTTGATTGATCGAAATTCACTTGCATATCGTACATTATATGATGTTTCTATTCGTAATTATGATTATTTTAATGATTCAATTATTCATGAAAAAGATAACAATCTTATACGAACAGTGTTGAAAATATTGAATAATAATAATAATAGTAATGATTTTATTGAATCAATATCAACTACAACATCTACTTCACCGAAAATTATTCATAATTCATTAGTGAAAATGTTGAAAAAAAATCGCAAAAGTTTTATTGATAAATTCTTTATTTATCTAATGTCAAATATTGATCTTTATAAGTTTGAAAAATTACGATTAAAAATATTCACCTATGCTGGTTTGGAACAAAGAATTGCATTCGTAATGACAATGTTAATATTAGATTTTTTGAATGTATTTTTGTTTATATTGGGTGTATCTACTACATTAAGTTTTGGCTGTTTCAAATATTTTAATTTTATTCGTATTCATATGTGGAATTTATGGCCATTTGCCATATTCGATTGTATTAATCATCTTTATTGTGGATATATTCTTCTTCGAAATGG